GACTAACAAGCTGAGATAATTCCGAGAATTGTGATAAAAAGGGGATTTTTTAATCCGAATGCCGAGAATTAAAAATACCAGCAAGTATTAACGGTAAATAAATTCTGACTGTGGATTCAAAAACCAACTAGTCCGAATCCAGCTTGCTGTGGACTGATAGGATACGATATTTTAACATTAACCAAATCTATATGCTGTAATATAACTGTATCTGAACCACAATTCGCCGTCATGACCCGGTACTACTGCTAATTGCCTGTACAGAAGAGTGTCACAAATTCATTGGAACGCAGGGTATTCCGTTATTGAAAAAAACTCCCCCACGAACTGCTCAAAATTTGACACGGTTGTATGTTTGAGGACTGGAATAACTATATGTGTATGTTCAATGCATGCCGAGCAGTAAAAATAGAGTAATAATGGGTTGAATTGACAGCCACGGAAGTGAGTGAAATGTCTGAAAGCTCGTTTGACTTACCTGTTATACTTGTAGATCTGTAGCAGTAGCTAGGCTGGGTGGTTTTTATTAATAAGCCATCAGAATTACAAGACCCGTGAATCAAATTAAATTAAATTAACATTTTTCTCAGTGTGTTAATTTGTCTAGTAACATGATTGAATTTGTGACAGTTGTGAATTCGAAGTAGACGACATTGTCAGTCTCTGCTACGACGAACATAATTGTAATACTTGTATCTGTTTAGCACGCGTAAGCTGGTCCGCCACTGTTCAATGTGTATGGCGCTCAGTCCAACAGAAACATTCAAACAGAAATAAAAATGTGCTTTAATTGTTTTTATTGTTTTCGAAAACAACTATTGTAACGGTTATATTTTAATACTTTTATTATGTTTTGGCGTTGTCATACAATACAGAATGGTGATGTAATTCACTGAAGTGCCCTCACCAATCTACATCGAGCATTTTCTACCGACTCTTACGTCACCAAGCGTGGTATTCATAAATTACACCTCGTTATCCAGTCAGTACTTTGAAATAAAATGGAAATAGAGCGTCATCGGAGGATTTCATTTTGTTATCCAAGTATTAACATCTTTGATTGTAATAAACGCGATAAACGACTCCCAAGGCTTCATCAGAAAAAAATCTTTGCTGCAGCAAACATATACATTAAAGGGGAGCAGAGGTGTGGCTTTTGACACTCTGTACATGAAATTTGAGATCTATGAATGGATTCTGTCGATAAAAACAACTTGTATGTGCTGCGAAATGCCCTAAATATCGGGTATAAAACGGGCTGTGAAGCAGACGACAAACTTCCGCTTTTCCTGTGTCATTTCGCCTCTAAGGGCCAGTCAATGACGTCATCAGTGAACACTGATAATTGACCCATTCTGCTAATACG